CCCAAAAATATCTCCCAAAATATCTCGGATTTATCTTTTCCCATAAAGCTCAACCAGTTGGATCGATCCAGCCTCAATTCGATAGATCTCAGCCAAGTTCGATCAATCCAAGTTCAAGGTTCGATCGATCGAACTTCCTCCAGTGCGAAAAAGTTAAAAAGCCAGCTTGTTCAATCCGTCCTCTATCCAATCATTAGAGAATATTCTTTGCACGACTCCAGCTCATTTTGTGTGTCACTTGACCTACCTATAAAAGGAATATGATGCACTTTTTGAGAGATATACAATTCTAGGGATTATTCTCAAAGGAGGCAAGCTTTAGGAAGGAAGAAGAAGAAGAGGAGGATAGAGACACCATTGGAGTTCTTCATCAACAAGGAACAGATTTCTTCCATGAAATTAGCCCTTGAGGGTTGGAGCAACATCACCATGAGTGGCTAAACATCCTCTTGGGACTAGAGTTAGCCCCAATCATGCTTTCTATATTTTAATCTTGTGTATTATTGAGGGATTAGTGTTGTAATTAATGTTTTGACGCTTTGATATGTATAGATCTTGATTGTTCAATGATTTATGTGGTTGAATGCTTTCAATTGATCATTTCATTCTATCCATATGTCTATGTATGTTAGAATAGATGTTCATGTGCTTGTCTCTAGATTTTGTGTTATTGATGCAAGTTTATGTGTATTAATGCTATAAATCTGGAGATTGTCAAAACATTGTGCTTAAAAGAATGTTCTTGTGATTTTCTTGATGGTTCATACTTATTCCTTGATGGATTGTGCCTCTTCCTTAATTTAATTTCATGTTAGTAGTATAGATGTAGTGTAGTGGTAGTGTAGTGTTAAATGGGAGGACGATTCATGCTTGTTGTTTAATGATCCATGCTTTTGAATACAAGTAGCATATGTCTTTAACCTTGTGTTGTATTTGGATTGTGAGCTTAATGAAAGGATTAATGACTTATTTTGATCTATTGTGCCTTTCACATGTTGTTTAGACAATATATGCTTAACTAGTCATCCTTGCTTGTTGAATCAACCAAACACACACACACACCAATATTGCAACACACCATTTGCCCTCATTAGTCACTTGTCAATGGTATAGAAATGCATTGCTTGGTGGTGATCTCTAAACCCCAAGACTCTTTTCTCTCTTATTTGCTCTTAATTGCATTCTTTTGTTATCACTTAGTTTAATTTAGTTGCTCTCTAGTCTAATTAACCAACCAACCAATTGTTTGATCACTCGACCTAATAGCAATTCCACAACCTTGTTCGACCCTCACAATCCCTTGGGACGATCCCTACTCGCCCTAGCTATATTTATAGTGAAAGGTAGTAGTGGCTTTTATAAATGTAAAACTCTTGGCCCTCACCTTAATGCACACTCTTTAAGCTTAATGGTGTAGGACGACGAGAACACCGGTCATGCACGTTGAGTCCATGGAAATTAAGGGCATTTTTGTCCATCTATGACTCTAAAGGCAATATAGTCTAAGTCACATAATTTGCTCAAACCACTGGCGCTCTATCGCTTCGCACGCGAATTGGCGTTTTGAGAGCGAATTCGCCAAAAATTCACGCTCTCATGTTTTTGAATTCGCGAATTCAATTTAAGAATTAGCCGATTTTTAAAGTTCAATTCAAGGAATTGTGTAAGGTAAAATCGCATATTTTGTTTAAGAATGCAACGACTTTTGACAATAAATTCACTTTAGTATGAATCTTGAGAAATTTCGATTTTACCCCTAACTTAAATAGACCAAATAAGGTTAATTATGTCAAAAAGTAATCAATTTAATTTAATTAAGTAAACTCTGTCCTTTATAGGTAAAAATCAAATAATATAACAATATACTTAATATTTAATAATACTTACGTAACTTACCTTCATTAGACAATATTTATTAGTAAAGAAATAAATGAATGAATAACTTTTCTTATTCTGATTATGAATTTCTAAATCTCTGATTTCTCAATTTTCTCTCTGCTATTAAGTGTTGGGTTCATGATTCTTGAACTTCTTTCACTAGTAATTGACTCTTAATTCACTCTTATAGTCTTTCTAAACTAAAGTATTGTTGTCTTTTTCTTTTGCTTTTGAACATTGCTATTTCAAAGACAATGATTGTCATCTTAAGAACTTAAAGCAGGTTAAATGTATAAAAGACGATGCTTTTGAACATTGCTTTTTCTGTTATGCCCTATTCATTGTTATGTTTTTTATTTTTATAAAGCAACTTGTTTGATTGTCATGTTTGTTAATTTATGCATTTTTATAAACCAGGTTATATTGGTTGTAATGGACTCATATTTGATTCACTATTCTGCCTTTTTATTTGCATGAAATTTATTTAAAACATATATTTACTATTATAAATTAATATTTTATATATTTATAATGCGGCACTCTAGCGGCGCTCCCGCTCTAAGATTTTTTGGGATATGCCGCTCTCGCTCTCGCGCTCCCGCTCCCGCTCTATGTGACTTAGAGTATAGTCCTTTAAAATGATTAAACAAATTTTAACAGCTAATTTTCACTGGACTTTGGTCAAATGGAGTGATTTGTAACTTTTTTTGCATAGTTTAGGAGGTTTCTTGCATTTTTAGTAGTTTAGGAGGTTAGTTGCTAGTTTTCTCATAATTCAGATGGGTTTTTTTGCATTTTATCCTATTATATATATATATATATATATATATTCTTTACAATTTCTAGTATATTTTATTTTATTTTATTTTGCACAACTAAATAAAATACTGATTTTTATTACAATACTTGATCTATATTGGGTGACTTCACTAACAACTCTTCTCTCAACTTATTCTCTTATCGACCAATTGACTCAGCGGTATCAACCCTTTCTTTTCAAAGGGGAGGTCGAAAGTTGGAAACTCAGCGGTATCACTCCTTTCTTTCCAAAGGAAAGGTAGAAAGTTCGAACATCAGTGAAGGTAGGGTGTGTGTATCTATTCGACTCTCAACTTCTTTTAACCCTTCATATCTCAAACACCATCATCTCTCTGCATCTTGTATCTCTGCAATGCTAGGGACAATTGGTTATCCGATGGCATCAATCATCGATAGATTTAGTCTATTTCATCTGTATTTTATATATATATATTTTATATTGAGAATCGTAGTTTTATTTTATTATTTTTTTTTTTTCCACCAACCAAATGGATCGATGATTATAGGTCTCTCTATAATATATCTTTTTTTTATTTTTCATGATTACACCATATCATTTACAACAAATGATTTAGTTCAATCTGTTTGTTTGTTTTTTTTTTTTTTTTTTTTTTTTCATCCAGAGATTGGGATTTTTATAAAATCAAATCATAACTAATTATGATATATTTTATGTGGAATTGTACGTTGCTTGGAATTGGTACTCGTTGCATATTTGAAATTGAAATTGAAATTGAATTTAAAGAAAATGTAAATTTTCTCCGATTTCAATTCTAAGTCATCTATTCCCTAATGGACCAAATGCATCGTGCGTATTGCAATCACGGCGAGTAAAAAGATAATTTTCACAACCAAACACTCTATTCAATACATTCTAAGCCTATTTAGATTGGGGATAGAGGTCTGAATCGGAAATCAATGGCGTTCTCCTTTTTGTTCATAGCAAGTCGTTGGTGCTCCTTGCAAAATGTAAACTCCTGCAGTGCGATTAACCTGATGGCATGTTTTAGGATTTAATGACCATAAATCAGAACTCCGAACTCCACTTTTTATATAAGCTTCTCCTTACTAATGGACGATTACGATACATTACAATCAATGACAGAAATCGAGACTCTAGAACTCTCCACTAATATTACAGAACTCTCCACTGTCCTAGAGTTCTCTCCAATTTATCTATTTTGACAAACTATCTAATGTTCTAGAATCATCCATCCCTCTCTACCATACACTCCACAATTTTCTATAGAAATGTGGAAGACTTGCAGACATTGCAAAATTCTCCCCAACGCTTGCATGAGCATAGCACACCACCCTCCAAATTGGTGGGGGTGACACTGCGGCTTTTAAACATCTTTTTCATGTATTGTTTTAGATTGACAGACACCGTGCAAAATCCTCCTTGCGTGAGCATGACACACCACCTCCAAATTGGTGGGATTACACTATGATTTTGAAACATCTTTTGCATGTTTGCACATGTTTTGTTTTACAGAATTTTGTAGCTCTTGCTCACCTGGAGACCTTCTTCTAGGATTTGAATCATGCTTTGTGATTGATTATACGACCAAACTGTTTGTTCTATCAAGCCCCACACGATTAGCTTTTGTAAGTCTTGTATTGGTATTTTCTTTTATCTGATTAATAATTATCCTCATCACACGTACTAGTATCTAAAACAACCAAAATAATATAACTTGGTTGTAGAGTGAAACATGATGGAGAGGGTTATAAGAAGTGTGAGGCCTTCTCTGTTGAGAAACAACCGTAGCATGCTTTATGAGGACTGATAAAGACCTTATTCTATGTTACCATGTATATATATATTCCAATTTCATCGAGGAAGAAACAAAATGAGCATAATTGTAATTTTTCAGTTTCTTTTATTTAAACTTGTTTATTCATGAAAATTATAAAAATGGACATTTTATTCAAAATAAGTAAATCATTAATAACATGTTTAATCATTTTTTATTTTTAAATGAAGTCTTTTTGTTCGTGAGGTATGTATGACTTGTAATCTCAGCAACCCTATTTTAAGTTACTAAATCTCCCCATTAGTCATAAAATTTCTTGATGGGTTTGAAGAACACTGATATTTGATAACATGACCACAAGCACTCAAAAGTGCCAAACTAAACCAAAAAAATAGAGAGGCTTCGAACACTTTATATAAGAAAGCTGTCAGTTTCCAATTTCTTCAAACATTTTAAGATTATTAAACAACATTTTGGTTTATTGTATTATACTTTTAAAAGATTGACAATGTTTTCGGTTTTTTTGTTTGCAAAACAGGCTCAGCATTTTTGTGTTATCAAACAATGTTTCTATTTATTGATAAATAACAACATAACATAAACACAACTTAAGTTTAAGCTTAAATCATCAACAGGAAAGCAAATTGGTTGACAAACGGACCCTTCTCATGCTATCATTAGCAACTCCATTGTCACGGCAATCCAAAAGTGCAAAACGTATTGCCACTGTTGCAGCGGTTCAGCCAAAATTGGGAACCGAGAACATCCAGATGGAAAAGTTCATTTCGTGTTGACGAAGAACCTGACACCAAATCACCTATTTGAGGGGACCAAGAAAAATAATCATCAGTAACTCTTTATCAGGGATGAAATACATAGGTAATTTTAGCATTCAAATACAACCTGATCGCATAACATTTTCAATTTCAAAAAAATATAAATAAATATCAAGCAGCACCTGTCCGAAATGCATGGTTATCAGGTGAAGGGAGGGGGGAGAGGGAGTTTCAAACTCACTATTTCAATTTTGCTTAGAAGCTCCAACCAATGTAAAATATAGGTATTTCCATCATCTGTTATTAAAATTAGAACTTCGACATGCTCATCTGTAAAGCAACTGATTCGATTTGGAAGTGATGCTGAAATTCAATATATCTTTAAAAATCAAACCATAAAAAGACTTTTAGCAATTACCCTCATTAGTCATCAAATATACATTAGCCTTCTCCATCAATGGGTAAAATCAATAGGGAAAGTTAGATTATAGTGACATAACCTAAATAAAATTGCTCTAAAATTAAGAAAAGATTAATAGTGACCAAATTTAACAATTAAATGCTAGGAAGTGACCTTCCAAGGATAATTTTGTCAAACAATTCACTTAAAATAATGAAATAATTTATGCGGACAAAGCTACCCTCCATCTCTCTCCTAATTCTCTGGGTTACAAATACTTATCTTTCAATAATAAGTAATCCTATCATCAACTGGCATTTCCTCTGTTTCAGGCGGCACAACATTCACTGGGCCGCAGCGCTCATCTTATCTTCTACATCCAACAATCCCCGTAACCACCGCCCCATGCCAATGCCTCAACATCTACATCCCTGCCCCGACTTTGAAGTTTTCGTGTTCTTCGGGGGTTTTGTTGGGTAACTTGGGTTTGTTTTTCTTTTACAGGGCAAGTTCACAGTACTGCCCGCAGTTTCTCTTTTTTACCCTTTCTTTTATTTTGGAAACTAAGCCAACAGGTTCAAGTCATATATCTTGGGCGATAATTATACCACTGGATCGGTACCACCATCTCAGAGTCTCCATTCAAACATCTCCTCAATTCGACAGTTTCTCTCTCTCTCTCTCTCTCTCTCTCTCTCTCTAACACCTCATCTGTCCAATTCTTCTATGCTCATTTCATTAGAACTAGCACGCAATCAATATTCTAGAACAATGCCTGCTAGTGTAGGCCACTTAAAAGACTTAATTTGAAATCTGCTAACAATAGAAGCGGAGGCAATGAACATAATTTTCTCAGCTCTTTCACAAATTTGAGCTCCAGATATGAAAAAGAAAGGGAGGGTAAAATTTGGCTAATTATAACATAATTTATTATAATAAGGACATTTACGTAATAAACCATCAAATGGTCACTCATTAGCATTTAAGTTTTAGATTTGGTCACTATTCATCTTTTTTTTACTTTATGGTCACTATCGAGCAATTTTGTTTAGATTTGGTCACTCAAATATAATTTTCCCAAATTAATATCGCATTCTGGTAACTGGGATTTGGACCTAATTCAAATTCATTTATGATGGCTGTTAAAAATTCTGTTCATGGATATGCAGATTCAGCTGTATCATATCTACTCTCTTTGTCTTGTACATTCCCTTTATTTTCCTTAGAATGTCCTCCCCATCTTCCTCATACTTTTAAAACAGAGCTTTCCTTTATTAAAAGGAAAAATAAAATAAAAATCTTTCGCTGGATTATTTGACCAATGTCTTACATTGCAGCCATCCGGGGAAGGGAAAACGAGAAATTTATCCCTTCCCCCCACCCGAAAAAAAAAAAAGAAAAAAAAAAGCAATAAGTACCGCGCTTTTTTTTATCATTGAGTAAAGTATGTTCCAAGAAGCAAAAAGCATATAATAGGTACAAATATAACACGTTAGCATATACAAACCAGTTACAGAAGGTCAAGAGAACAATCAAATACGCCCACACTTACAAGATCAAGGCATGAATACTTTAAGCACCATTTGCATAAGGTTATCCTGAGATTCTCATATATGACAAGGCAAACAATATTTTCAACGAGTATGAAATGGCAAACAAAATGTTGAAATAAGATGACTACGAAATGTTATTTATTACACATGATCTCAGAATAAAGGTCACAGAAAATTCCCCTTTTTTAATCCAACGATACGTCTTCAATCTGACAAAAATTGAAATCCAGAACTAGATAGACATTCCCTTTCTTTCTTCCTTTTCTTTCTTTTTTTCTTTGGCTAAGAGAAAAGTGAAAACTAGATAGAACTACAAAATTTAATTTATAGAACAGAAAAGCTTGTAATACAAACTCATTATTGGATGGAAGGCACTTGATGATTAACATAATTATAATTGACACCAACATAACAGATTTCACAATGAAGTAATTCCAGTTCATAATGAGAATTTGATGATTAATATACTTACATAAGATGAATGGAAGATGGACCAGTAAATGCGGCAACTTTCTGTGCACGCTGGGCTTCACACCTGTAGAGCCCCTTTATTTCCTTCTTCACACGACGTGCCTCTCGCCGTTCCTCCTTCACAGCAGCCTGCATGCAAAAAACTCCAACATCAATGTCAAAGCATATATAACAGAAAATAAAGCGAGAAAATGCCAGGAATATTTTCTCAAAAAATCAAACAATAAAGCCACACAACTTTTCAAATCCTAAACAAAAGGTTTGTCTTTTCCAGTCTATAGTAAGTTGAGTGACCATGAGCAGCGAAAAGAATGTTCTAGTTTTTTTTTATCAGGAAACAGCTAAAAAATTGCAACTTCAAGAAATTGCAAGAATAAAATAAGCTGAAACAATCAGTGAGCGGATACCTTTCGCTCTTTCTTTTCCTCCTTTGACTCTGGACCCTGTTGCTTCCTCTTCTGCTGCTCCGTCCTCAAGCTACTCACTTCCTTCGTCTTTTCACTAGCAGATTTTTTACTGCGAGGCAAAAAATCCACAGGAAGCTTTTCTTTTCCTTTAAGAGATATCACTTGGCTTTTCTTTTCAGCCAACTTTCTCCTTTCTGGAGCATCAATTTTCCCAGGGTGGTTATCAACATTTGAATACGTAGAAATGATAGTATCACAATCCCACATTTCTGACTCATCACTACTTTCCTGTAGAATCACCACATCCTCGTCTTGATTGTCATTGTCATACTTTTCTGCATATTCCATACACCGTTGAATCACATCAGGAGAATCTGAAGGAACCTTGTATTTTTCATCCAGTTCCAAGTCATCCATAGCACGGACCTTAAGAGCATGATTGAGCTTTTCCGCAAGGGATTCATGGTATTCATTTTCTTCAGCTAAGGAACCATTACATTCTTCTTCACTTTCTGTACCATATTCATTAAGTTCAAGCTGTAAGAGACAAAGAAGGTTAGTGCGAAAAGAGCAAGGGCAGAAAACAAAACTATTAAATAACCTCTGTGGACAAGGTTTTGATTAATGATAATGGCCGTAGTGACGATGACAATCATGGTGTAACAGAAGGCATGGAACATGGTTTAACATTTTTATGTAGTTCAAGCTGTAATATACAACAGTATAAGACACAAATAAGGTTCAAAAAGAGCAAGGGCAGAAAGTGAAGAAGAATGTGATGCTTCTGAGTAATGGTAATGGCTGCCATGATTGTGACAGTCATGGTGATGGAACAAGGGCATAATGGGTTATGCAAACTGTAAAAGTTGTTGAAAATTCAACTCGGCAACTCTCACTAAAATATACTGATGCACATTCTTTAGATCTGACAATCTCATAATTGAGTTTTAATTTTTTTTTCTTTAAATATGATTTAGTTAAGTTATAAATTTTTCAGACTTTAACAAGTTTTATATAAAAGTTAATTTAAGAAAAATATTAAAGCAACAATCTAATCTCAATGTCACATACCACATATTTACAGGAAAAAAAAATGTCACATACCACATACATAATAGATTGTACTAAATCACCAATGGTGGGGAGGGGAAGGGAAAAAAAAAAAAAGGAATTACAAGGCCCACCAACATTCTCTAGAATTAATACCAAACAATAAACTTAAATTGCCTCTAACCTAAATCAAGTGAGAGAGACAAAAACCAAAAAATTCAAAAACTTAAAAACTCATAGGCGCATTTGATTCAAGATCTAATTAGATATTCTGTTTTGGTACTCATGAAATGTAAGAATTTATGAGTGGTATTAAGGTGAACCAAAAAAAAAAATCGGCCATTATGGCCTAAAATCATATAGAGGTATTCAGGAAAAAAAAAAAAAAATCATATAGAGATATAATCATAGTTAGCAGTATCATTTTATACCAATATGATTTTTACCTCCAACCAAATCATGATATACTGTACCATAATTTATCAAAACTACACACTTCATTGGTGCATATTGTTTGACAATTCTCAATATTTACCTGATACCAATATGAGTCAAGTGAATACATGTCATGCAACGTTATATAAATTGTATGAAACTAATCAGTAATGCTTTCATTAATGTTTTAGACAATGTTATGTTTTTTATTAATTTAATTTATTCTTCCAATTTGTAATTCATATTATTTCTAATTTCTTCATAATTTGAATAATTTTTTTTAAAACCTTATACGTAATGTATCTTTGCATATCACCCGATACCGATCCGTGTGCTGGAACAAGTCACAATTTTCACTCTCCCGTTTCCCACAAAGGGTGGCTAAAGGAATTGACTCCATGACAAGTCATCACAGTGTCATTAGCCAAGTCAAGTTAGCCCAAGGTTGGGGAAGTTAGATTGGCAGATAATTTTGCTTATAAAGTAGTGGCTGAAAGGTTGTTAGGATCGGGATTCTACGTAGGATCGATGAGGGGTCCATAGGATTGGATCCAGAATCGTAAGATTCTATAAAGCTATTAGAAATGTAACTCAAACTAACCTTCTAAATTAAATATTTTTGATCTAAGTAGACAATAAGGCTAAATAACCAAATGAGACACTAGCAAAATCTATTACATTAAAAGATACTGAGACACATGGCAAACACTTAAAATCAATTTCTTGATTTCAATACAAATTTAGTATAACAATTAAGCAAAATCTCAAGAAGAAATTAAAGTAGAGCCTAAACAAATAGAAAAGGGAACAGAGAAGTAGAAAGCGAAAAGTACAATTTGGTTGCCTAATTGTCTAAGCAATTTAGTTTAAAAGTTAATGTTTGGTTAAAAAAGGAACAAAACAGAGATAGAAAGAACAACGAAAAACAAATGAAGTCTCTCCTTGTTTTTGTTTTAGAATGGACAAAGAATATGTGGAAAAATACTTTCTTTTTTTTTTCTGAAAGAAAGAAGAAAAGATAAATTAAGAATGATATAACAAAATAGAGAAAAAATTTCAAGTTTTGAACCATACCTTTAAAATTCAGAATTTAATCATCTCTACATTTGTTCTTTGGTTTTTGTTTTTAATTTTTAATTTTCCAATGCAATTAGGCTAAAGAGTTGGACTTTATATTTAAAATGATTAAATTTATTAGTCTAAAATTAATTGTAGGCCCAAATAAATCCAAAAGAAGAACAAAATAACACGATTTAGTAGAATCGGTAGGATCGTGCGATCCTATGCGATTCTACAACCCTACTTCCGATTCTATAGATCTTACTGAGATTCTACTTCCCAGCGATTTTGGATGGGATCGGATCGGTTTGGCAATTTGGGATCATAGAATCATAATATTCTAAGATCCCGAATCGGGATTTTATCAACTATGGGTTGAACTGAACGACTACCACCCAAGTTTCCACCTTTATTAACTCTTTCATATGCTTCAGTTGATATGATGCAAGCACGCATGAAAAATCCCAAACTGCACCATGCTAAAAGTTAATGAAAAATAAATAAATAAAAAGAAAAGAAAAAGATTATTGCTTTCATGTGCCCTGCAAGAGACTAAATTTTACAAACGTGACACCTACCCTGAAGTCAACTTCTAAAAGTTGGTATCATTTGTTTGAGAAAGTTTGTGTGCAAATTCTAAAGTGACAGAGAGAAACTTGAGTCTTATGGGCTCAACATTTTATTCTACACCAATTATGAGCTTTCGGTATTTAAAAATATAGCAATATCAGCTCAACATTTTATTCTACACCAATTATGAGCTTTCGGTATTTAAAAATATAGCAGTATCATCCCTAAAAATTTTAAAAACAATGACAACGAACTTAAATAAAACATGCATATAAAAAAAAACTAAAAAAAAAAACTGACCAAATCAAATTGCTCATCCAAGGGGCGACGGACTCTCAGCTTCTCATCAACACACTCTTTTAGTGGGTGATTTCTGACTTTAGCCACACCAACAAAGTCAGCTAAATTTTCTTGTGAACAAGAAGTATTTGAATCATTGATTTCCTTTAAGTTCAACTTGGAATCCTCCACGGCACTCAACTTCTTGGCAAATTCTTCATCCTCTGATTCTTCAGCAAGGTTTGCCTTAACCACAAAATCCTCATCCAAGTCCTCAACATCAGACCCAAATCGCGACAAATCACTGTCATCCAGCAATGCAGACACTTCAGGATCAACAGCTTTCTGGACCCTCACACCAACAGTCTTTGATGCAACACTGTAAATCGACTTATCACTGGCATCGCCACTGGTTTTAGCAATCCCTACTCTTGAAGCATCATATGCCTTGGGGAAAAAATTAAAAATATAATCATTTCATAACAAATAATCCATGGAGAAATTTCAATTTTGTTCAAATTGGTAAAGGAACCAAGTAAAAGAAACTGAATAATAACACACCTTAACATCTTGCGAAAGCTGATCGAGATTGGCCTTACTATTATGATAATAAGCAGAACCACCACCGGTGTTTTTTATCTCTCTCAAATGAGTTAAGTAGTTATAGCCATCGTCAGGAAACCCTAGCTCTAAGATTTCTCTCCTTACATGATCCGGCAGCGGAGCTCTCTGTGAATTCCCAGAAACAACATCACCGGCGTCGTCATCGTCGTCAGGTGCGTCGGCAAATATTGAACTGGGGTCATCGGCTACGATAAATTGGGCGTCGCCTGAAACGGCATCGTTGGTTTCGTCAAAGGAGGTGTCGATTGAGTAAGGGTTGTTGTCGACTCTCACAAAAACTCGGTCGCCGGAGGGTCCATCGTCATAATTTGGATCGGAATAATCTCGCGCGAATAACTGAAAAGTTGCAGAGTTTTTCTTATCGATGAATTTCTTCTTGCCCATTGAAGAAAGTGATGAACGTTGAAGGTTGTCGGAGAAAATATAGCAGGAGAGAGTGACCGGTTGAGTCGGCGATGATAAGCTCGAATGTGAAGAAGCTGTTGATACACGATATAAACCCGGATTTTCCCTAAAACCCTAAAAAACAAATGATGCAGCAGATGTGCGTGGGGGTGACAAAATATAACCGGACCCGCCGACAGCCCAAGCCCGCCCGGTGATAAGTGGCCTTGGGTCACTTATATTTCTGTTTTTAAATAACATGGTGCACAAGTCCAAATACTTTTTGGCACCAGGCAAAATTTCTTTGGTTCGGATTTGGAAACTGTTGTAATATAAACAAAAATAGGAAAAAAATTATAAACAGAAATGACCCACTCTCTCTATATATATTTTTAATAACTTCTTGCTAACTAACTAAAAATTATATATATATATTGTAAATTATGAGGTCTTCAGATTTCTAATTTAGATACATATTTTTTACACACATTGTCCACAATAATTTTATCTCCATTTATACATACCAAAAATATATGGATTGGTAGAAGCTTTATGAACCAAATAAAGCTTTATGAAACCTATGCCCAAACACTACCCATCCTCTTATAAGGCTGGGTCGGGCTAAACTAGACGGACTTGGGCTAGGCCCGTGAACTCAGATTCATTTTTGCACCATTAAGTAGAAGAAAATAGGATAATACCTGGAGCATCAGAAAGTAAAAGTACCGAGAGAACTTTGTATCCAATAATTACTGAGGGTCTACTTTATTTGTAAAGAACAGTTTTCTGCTTTTAAAAAATTGTACAAAAGGTCTGTTGTAAAAATATCTGTTTTAAGATAATTATATTTTATTATTTTCTGAAAATTGTTTTCTGTTTTATGAATTTTTACGAACTATTTTCAAAGTTACAAACCAAACATGCACACTTTTATTTAGTTTGATAAAAAAGAAGAAAATTAGATGGCAGAAAAATAAAAAGAGATGAATGAGACATTCTCACGAAAGAGATTATGTATTTCTCTCTTTTTGTTTGGTTAAATGGAAGAGAATATGTTTGTTAAGAGAGAAACCAATATAAAGTGTTGATTATAAATAAAATTTTGTAATTTAAAAACTTTTATAATGGCTTGTTTTTTTTTCTTTCTATAATTCCGTCCATATTTGGAAAAATAAAAATTTGTGAATGATAAATGATGGCTCATTCTGTCATTTATTCTCTTTTCTCTTTCCTCCTCTCTAGTGTTTACCAAATAAATAAAGTTTTTTTTTTTTTTTTTCTTTTCATCTTCCTTCCACCACTCTTCCTTCATGCCTACCAAACGCAACATTCAACAAAGAATTATACTCGTGTCATGTCCACGTTGGACACCAACACTCCTCGAATAAATATTCCACACTTTATATACTTATCAATGAATAAAAATTAATTTTTATTATTTTGGATATTTAGCCGAAACTTTAAGACATTTTCCAAACACTTAGGCAGACATTTTTATGGCATTTTTAACATAATTTTATCCGATAATCTTGAAAGTAAAATGAACATTTTCTAAAGTAATTAACCTTTTCCTTAAAAAAAAATAATAATAATGACATTATATATACCACCACAAATGAAGCATAAAATGATACTTGTTCATTTAAAGCAAAAAATGTGCATTAATCTATTGATTAGTTTTTTCTCTCTCTTCTCTCTGTAGCTCTACCCTTTCTGCCTTCAACTTCATCTTTCCCATCCGTTTTTTCTCCCTGCTCCCCTCTATAGGAGTGGGGAGGTGCCGTTTCTTGCCTCCCACAAGCTAAATAAACTCAATGTGTAACAATAAATTCGCTCTGTTGGTGATTTTCGCACCGTTTTCACTTTTGTTTTGCTAGATCTGTTCCTGTTTGGCTTACTTCCGTCTAGACTGGGTGGATCTGATGTTTTCTCTCCGGCTAGATCTCTGATCTATGTCGGATTTTGTTGTCCCCGATTTGATTTTATCTTGTGTGGAGTTTAGGTGGTTTTTCCCCTGTTGGAGGCGCCTCGTAGATGTAGTTTTGGAGTTGTTGCCGTGATGATAGCCTGACCTTTGGGTCAATCCTGTTGCTGCTCTTCTCCCTTGGTGGTTTCCGTTGTTGAGATTCTAAGAGATTAGGACGATATAATCGTTTGTGATTCTTTCCATTCTTAGATTGATTGCCTTGCAGTATATTAGCTGTGAAATCGTGCTTCATTATGGGCTGTAAATGTGTGATTGATTGTATAGCCTAATTATAGGAGATCATCCTCTATATATAGATTGTATATTGATAGACAAAAATATGAATGAAAATATACCATTTGTAATTACCTATTTTTCAAGTTGGTATCAAAGCGGGTTAATCCCTGCAAATTTCTTTTTTCCATAATATCATTCATCACCCAAAAATTCAAATACCCAGAAATTCATTACCAAATAGCCAAAAATTCATCATAAAAAACCAGAAATTCTTCATCAAATTCTTACCCAGACTACTTAAAATTGCCCAAATACCCTATTTCTTACCTGCCAGAATATCATCATCACGGTAAATTGCCGCACCAAAGTACCGCCACGTTGAGACAAAGAAGATTCATCACCAAACTGTTTCGATTGATGAGATAAGGTAAACCGCTGTGTCGCGCTTCTGCTCATCACCGGAGTCGCCTGAGTCGTCCGCCTTTATGCCGCCTCACGATTTCTCTTCTATGTGTTTGTGTTTTTTATTTGTTTTTCTTCTATGTTTTTTGTGCCTTATTGTATTGTTAATCGTATATCTCAAAAAGAAATATATATATATATATGAGTGACAAAAATAATGAATCATCTGGATCCAAATTCATATCTGTTATTGTTCAGTCTGAGGGTGTCTTTAATGTTGGGATCATTCTCATGGAGACCAATTATGATACATAGTCTCAGTTGATAGAGATGTAGATTGCTAAAAGGGACAAGATCTCTTATATTCGCAGAAAAAAGCCACCTGCAAAATCGGATGAAGGGTATGAAAAATGGTATGCTGAAAATCAAAAAATCAAAAGGTGGCTATTAATGTCTATGTCACTGAAAATATGAAATGTTATTTACACTTGGGTGGCTTATGAAATTTGGGATGCTCTTTCAAAAGCATTCTATGATGGAACCGATGAATTATAAGTGTTCACTTTGAACCAAAAGGCATTCATTGCAAAACAACAAGGGAAAACACTCTGTTTATTATGAGGAGCTCACTGAAATATTATAAGAATTGGACTATCGTGATAAGGTGGTCGTGAAGGATCCTAACGATGCCGCAGCATACCGCAAATCCATTGAACAATTACGGGTTCATATATTCCTTGCTAGATTGGATGAGGAATTTGATCAAATCCGATGAGAGATTTTGCGAAGTGATCCAGCTCCAAACCTGGATGAGTGTTATTCTTTAATTCGATGAAAGACTGTTCGTTGTACCACCCTGAAAGGCGTGTCTAGAACATTTAAAGCTTCTGCCATAGTGGCCCGTAATCGGTCTAACCAGAATTGGACTCCCCAAAATTAGCAAGTCTGAGCTCGACCCAACAATGGCAAAACGACCAACAGTATCAACAACTACGTCCAGTTATAAATGCACTTAATGCAATCGGACTGGTCATACCAAAAGTTGTTTTAAGCTAGTGGGATATCCGAACTGTTGGGATCATAGTTGGTCAAAGAAGGATCAGAATAAAACATCCATTGTAGCAGTTGTTGAAGCAAAGCCAGAAGATGATATAGCTGCAAAAGCCTCAGCACTGGTAATAGCTTCAGATAATGGTGGTAAGGCTTTAAACATTTATGCACCTCTTTTTAATAGTACATGGATAATTGATTATGATGTTACAGATCATATGACATTTGATTCTAGATAGGTCTCACCGCTTAACCCCACCTCACAAATATTCATTTCCACTGCCAATGGAACTTCAACCCTTATTATTGGGGAAGGATCTTTAACCCTCAGCGATACTCTAAATTTAGATTCTATTTTAGTTGTTCCATCTCTAGATTATAACCTGTTGTCAGTTTCTCAAATAACAAAAAGCTTATCTTGTATTGTAATTTTTTGGCCTGAATTTTGCATGTTTAAGGACATTCGAACCAGGAAGACGATTGGTTGTGGTATTAGGAGGGGGAAGCTGTACTATTTGGACTTGGTGTTAATAAGTTCCCATAACTTACAACAAGCATTAAAGATGAATGGATGTGAGGGGGAGAAAAAGAAAAAGGAAATCTGGTTGTGGCATCGGCGTTTGGGGCATGCTTCATTTGGATATTTAAAAAAATTGTTTCCTAGTTTATTTGCAAAATTTGAAGTTTTTAATTTCCAGTGTTATGTTTGTAAACAAAGAGCCATCGTGCTTTGTTCCCGTTACGACTGAATAAAAGTCCACTTCCTTTCATGATTATACATTCTGATGTCTGGTTCCATCTAAAGTTATTACTTTGGGTGGATCACGTTGGTTTGTAACTTTTATTGATGATTGTACCAGGATGACATGTTTATACTTGATGAAATCCAAAGGTGAAGTGAACTCGTTATTTCAAAAGTTTTATAAAAGGATTGTGTAACGACCCACTCCACCACATGGTATGATATTGTTCGCTTTGTGCCTGAGTCCGCACAGTTTTGCTCTTGGACTTCACCCCAAAAGACCTCATACCAATTGGAGTGACACACCTATATAAAAGCACTTCACCTTTCCTCTATCCAGGCGATGTGGGACTTGTGCACCCGTAACTCGCTAGTGTGATAGCCTGTTAGTGTCTCTCGCACCCACCCACAGGGTCGTCATAATCTACCCCCCTTGGAGGCCCGAAGTCCCCGTCACACGTCCGGCTGGGTCAGGCTCTGATACCATATGTAACGCCACTTCACCACATGGTATGATATTATCCTCTTTTAGTCTGAGCCCGCACGGTTTTACTCTTGGCCTTTACCCCAAAAGGCCTCATAGCAATTGGAGTGACACACCTACATATAAGCACTTCACCTTCCCTTTACCCAGGCGATGTGGGACTGTGCACCCGTAATGAAGTGGGTCGTTACAAATGGTATCAGAGCTTGACCCAGCCAGAAGTATGCCGACGGGGACGTCGGGTCTCCAAGGGGGGTGGATTGTGATGACCTTGTGGGCGG